CCTTGTGCAGGGCTGGGCCCTGCGGCGCCTTCTCTCCCCTGCCCCGGGGCCCAGTGGCGCAGGGTTCTCAGAGCAGGCTGCTTTCCCACCGGCCTTCCCCATGGCTGCCGCGCTGAGCCCCGGGCCAGGGCCGTCCTGCTGCTTTTCCTGCCTCCAGGAGCCAGCGCCAGAGGGGACCGCCCGTGGGCCGGGGGCCATACGTGGGGGGGAGGAGATGGTCCTAGCGTTCGGCGAGCGGCGCGAGAAAAGCTTCAGCAGGTCCTGGAGCGACCCGACTCCCGTCAAAGCGGATTCCTTCCATGACTCCCGAGAAAGTGAGTTCTGAGACCCTGGAGCTTCCTCCCTGCCAGAGCTGCCAGCCCAGCGTCGGCCGGCACCGGACCGTGAGGGGGCCCAGTCGCTCCCCCTGGGGGCTGTGGGGCTGCTGGTCGAGGCCTGCCGAGAACGAGCCGCCGTTGCTAGGGCCGACCCTCTGCTCTGGGACATTGCTCCCCCGCAAGCGAGCGCCGCTTGGGCTTTCTCCTCGCCAGCCCGGGCTCCAGAGGAGCGAAGCTCCAGCAGCCTGCACTCCAGAGTGGGCTGCGGGAGACTGCCTGAGCGCCCAGAGAACTCCCCAGGGCCCAGCCTGTGCTGGCCCAGCCCACTGCTTCAGCCCCTGGGCTAGCGAGACTGAGGGCCCTTTGGGTGCGTCAGTCGTGCCCCTGAGAGCAGGCCGGGCGTAGCGCCCTGGGGACACCCGTCTCGGGCGCTCTGCAGACTCAGGCAGGCACCTTGTGGGCAGCGCTCAGGTCTGGTTTTCAAGGTTTTCTTCACAACCAGGAGAGCTAGAGACAGGCTTTAAAAATGAAAACTGAGATGGCAGAAGGGTCACCAGGCCCCACACGTGCCCCTCCCCACAGGTGTGCCCCCCGTGCAGGGCTGCACCCCAACAAATAACAAGGCTCCTCCCGTAATCTCCAGAGAAACGGGCGTGGGCCGTGCACAGAGAGCTGGGAACTGCAGCTCACCCGCTCACGTTTGCGCAGTGACGTGCGGGGCAGACGGCGAAAACTGAGATGGCAGAAGGGTCACCAGGCCCCACACGTGCCCCTCCCCACAGGTGTGCCCCCCGTGCAGGGCTGCACCCCAACAAATAACAAGGCTCCTCCCGTAATCTCCAGAGAAACGGGCGTGGGCCGTGCACAGAGAGCTGGGAACTGCAGCTCACCCGCTCACGTTTGCGCAGTGACGTGCGGGGCAGACGGCCAGTTCCCCTTCCGTGCCTCACACCCACACGCCCGTCTGTGCAGAAACTGCTGCCTCTGCTCGCCCTCGCCCTAGGCTGGCGCCCGCCCCG